CACACACACACACACACACACACACACACACACACACACACACACACACGAGTGTTCACAGATATATAGATGATGGAAAAGAGATAGGGGCTGGGGGAGGGCGGCGTGAAAAAGAGAAATAAGTCCCATTAGACCATTAGGATGGTAAGTTGTGGTGAAAATAAAAGAAGAGCATGAGGGGAAAAGAAAAGTCTTAGGAAAGAGACCTGCAGACACATACAGAGACCCCATGCTGGAAAATGCCGTTGTTGAGCTTTGAAGCACAGTGGTAATGAGGCTCCATTTAAATCCAATGAAGCCGCTTTGGCAGCTTATGAAAGCACAATTGGTAAGCCCCCTTCGTCTGCTGATGGGTGTGTGTGTGTTCCTGTGGTTGTGTGTGTGTCAGTAGAATAGGGAGGGGACAAACTGGACAATATTTGGCTTTACTTTAGTTTCTCTTTTCATCAAAGCAGCAAATTATTCACAAAACTCCCGTAAGTCAGTTCTATTCTATAAACACTAGTAAACAAAGCTTAAATGTGACAGTGATTTACACTGGCTATAATTGATGTAACTTTCATTATAGCAGTAATTCGCAATGAACCCTATGAGGGAGCCCCTTAGCTCTTTAGATCAAGGTTTTCCATTACTGATGCATTCATCAAGGTGAAGGAAACAAAATTAGCTGACAGAGATGAATGCAGCGTGAGAGCAGTGCAGGTGATGAGGGAAAGTAATGTAGATGTTTTTGATAAACCTTTATAGAGACAAACAGTAGGTGGGCTGCATTACTTTAGAAAACATAGTGTAGAAGAAGCTTGTTAAGGGGCTTTTTGGATCAAGTGCCACTTGCAGGCCTGAAAACTAAAGTCAACACCAAAAAGTGGAGTTGCTCAAGTGGGTACTTGAAGCTGACTCCAAAAATCAGTCCCCACAAGAAAAAGAAGTGGTTTTGGTCTCTACAATAAAAGAAGCTGTACTGGGAAGGATTTTGTGATTAACTGACTTGTTTGAATTGTATTAGAAGCTTATAAATTATTAGGAGTTTGGCCATTCTGAATGAGGGCTGCCATTATCATCTAATTCTGACCAGTCAGCTGAACCTAGTCCCATATTTGTGGTAGCAGTTATCCCATGTGTGACACACTTACACTGGATACACCTTGCTAACCAAGCAATAGCTAATAAATTAGCACCCCATAATCTTTCGTCCAAGTGGCGATTTCTGATTAGATTCGAGTCTTCATAACAGGACTTTATAAACCAACATCGCCATGATCATCTTTATGGGTAAACCTTGAAAACCCTAAACCTTTCAATGAGGTTTGGCAACCACCAGTGGTAAGGGAAATATGTGCATTTCCCAGCTGGTCGCCAAGCGGTTGCTTGAGGTTGGTGGCAGTTGCTGTGAAATCAGTTGCCAAATCCCCGGCCACGCAGGCTGATCAGTGAGATGGAGACTGCTGGCAGTCGCAATCTGAAATTGGTTACAAAGAGGTATGCCACGTTGCACCAAAAACATACCAGCATTTTCTTTGCTTGCTAACAGATTTTCATGGTTCCCCTAGATTGCAATACACTGACTTGTCAAAAAAACAATCAACCGTTGCTCTCCGAGCTGTAGTGAAACTGTTAAAAGCGCAACACAAAACATTAACGGAGAATGTTTGCCTTCAAAGTCAAACTTCCACCCTTTGAAACATGTTGGCTGCCTCTGTGAATCACAGCTTTTAGCCACTTAACTAGTAATTTCCAAGTGTTATCATGTTGTCATCTTCAATGGAAACTACAGGCAATTGCAGCAATCTGCTAGTGACCAAAGCAAAAACAAGGACCTTTGCTGCACCCTCTTTTCGACTGATGTTCACCCAGCGATTCTCAACAACCAGTAAAGGAACACACATTATTCGCACCAGCTGGTCTCTATGCCTGTGTGACTGAGGCCTTAAAAGTTTCGACCACTCAAAGATTAATCGCTAAAAATCGATGTAGCAACCAGCAGTTTGTAAAATGTTGTTATGAAGACTCAAATGTCAAATTTTCAATGTTGTTTCTAACTGAAGAAAGAAAAAGGAAACTGTATGTGACAGAATTCCCCTATCTTTGTGATTCACTAGTATAGTCTATGGATAAACCTTGCTAATCAAGGTAACTGGGACTTATTGATAGCTTAGGACTCCACCCTCCCATCCCAATATGTTAATAGTTAATGGTAGCCAAAAAGCTAAAGCTGAGGCTTCAAATGAACTTTACAAAATAAAGGGTGACACCAAAGTGGGTTTGGGGTCTGGGACTCGGTTATTGGTTGTCACAGAGATTTAAAAAAAGGAGAAAGCTTGGTGCCTTGTAAAACAACATCTTAACATCTTTATTTTGTTATTCATAAGAAGAAGCGAAGAACTGAGGCAATATTTTGCTCATGTAAATGCTGATCATCTTTAATGACTGAATGTCCTACAGGACAAAGGATTTTCAGTTTTGTTCTGGTTGTAGACGGTTTTGCTTTGGTGTATAGTTAACTGAACTCAATATAAACAGCAACTTGATAGAAGGCCAGGATGTCCAGGAGAGAGATGCTTGATTCAGAGATTCAAGATATGTTTCAGTGTGTGTGTGTCCAGTCTGTGAAACCTCTATTCTCAGAGCCTCAGTGGCCATGCCTGGGGAGAGTGATGATAAATGACTGCTTTCCTGTAATTTACCTTCAGGAGAATGGATGGAGCTGGCCTGTTTGGTTAGTGGGTGGGGAGATGAGGAAGAGAGGACACTGTAGGTGAAAAAAAAAGAGAAAGAGAGTAAGGAGATTCCTGCTTTGAGCCTTTCTCTGGAGTTGGGTTTCCTCCAAGGTGAGGAACACATTAAATTGTGTGTATATACTGTGTGTGTGCGCCTCATTGTTTATTTACAGAGCTTTAGCTCTTGCAGCGTTCATAGAGGAGGGGAGCCGCTCTACCCAATATTCTCTTCTTCAAACCCCCATCTAGCCCCCGTGAGTGGAAACATACCAGAGCAGTGCCAACTGTGTTTGAGCAATGGAGAAAACACACATGATCAATTTTATATAATTTCTGCAGCTAAGGCTAATAGCCGCTATTAAAGAGACAGATGATCAACACAACGCACAGTTCATTACCTAATAATTTATTTTTTACCATTTAGATTAAAAAGTCAGTGGTTCATTGCCTCAGAGGAAAATGTACAAGGAAGACTTCGATATAACAGAAGTGAAAAGCAGTGCTAGACTGAGGGCAGGATCCCTTTGTTCCCCCCAAAAAGGTAGGTGGACAATTTTTGTGTGAGTGAACCATTATTCCCAGGACATTAATGTAACAGGACATGGTGGGCTTTGTGTGTCAGTTTCCATCTGTACCTCTATAGGAAAAGCAGAGGGTCCAGTCAGTCACGTTTTTACTCCATTCACCTCAAAGTCATTTACAATTGGGTGGTTGTTGTCTGGAAACAACATAAAACCGAAAGGAATACATTCTGTGTAATATCTGAACCACGTCTTCTGGTCGTGATCACGAAAGCATATGTTCCTGGTTTCTACATCCATATAACATCCATAATCATCTGGTTTGTACATCCATAAATGTGAGTCATCCCAGGCTAAGTGATGCTTTACAAAAGACAACATAAACGGCAGAGGCAGTTCAGTACATATTTACAATATTAAAAAAAAAAAAAATGCATCAGGACAAGCCAAATGTGTGGATGAAAATGACGCATGTGCACAAAGAAAAAAAAAAATAGTCAAAAAACAAACAATGGGAAGTTGACCAAGAAAATTTGTGTGATATAATTCTTCATCATGGACCGTTTCAGAACCCTACCCCCACCCAAAAACGCTAAACTTCAAATAAGTTTCCTCTCACCTCTCTGCAAGTTGTGTGTGTCACTTGTTTGCTCGGGAAGGTTAATTAAACACACAAACTCACACACCTGTGAATGCTATAAACGCTGTGGAAAAAAATACACAGGGGGGAGGAAGCAAAGTGAAGCAGTTATGGTCTCAGTTCCACTGCCAAGCTGCTGGGCTTGGTAATATAAAACAACAGGATGGCTCTCTCTATGAGGCTCACAAAATAGCTTTCACAAGCGCTACACTTCCACCCCCTAACCCCCCACTCAAACAAAATCTGGCCAATTTTAACCTATTTTGATTTCGATGTTCAGGGTGGGCACTTAAGAAAAGGAAAAGCTGGTTCGTAGTTTTCGATCATGTGACCTGTGCAGAGGCCTGCAGGGAAAACTGTATTTTTTTTTCCAGCTTACATACCAGACCCTCCACAGAACTGCAGGAGAACCGTGTAAATATTTCATCTTTTACAATCCATGAATGTTTAGATCACCCTTTTAAAGGATTCACACAAAGATGTAATCCCGCTCCATTCTGGTGATGTTTTACTTGAACTCTACATGGATAAAAAAATTTGGACCACACCTTTTTATGAATTCAAGTGTTTTCAAACCCATTGCCACAGGTGTATAAAATGAAGCACCTAGCAACGCAGTCTGCGTTTACAAGCATTTGTGAAAGATCAGTTCTAAAGAGCTCATTGAAATCCATCACATTTGTAATTTTTTCCCCTCTTCCAGATATTCTACGATAAGCTATCGGTGGTATTATCGCAAACATGGGTGTGTTTAGAAATAGTGACAAAGTGGAAGGCCATGTGAGGTTACAGAGCAACCGCTAAGGTGCACCTGTGACTCAGTAACTGCAGATTTGCAAACCTTGTTTGCTGTGTGCCAGGAGCTTCACGACATGGATTTTGGTACCTGAGCAGCTCTTGTAGGTGTGAGGTAAACTACTTTTGTCCATATAGTGCATTTAGTGGAGATTCCTTCACTTTACACTGCAGTGCAAAAGCACAAACATGCTTAATCTTGATTTGATTTGCTCTTTTAGATTTGAAGGTAAAAAAAAAGCTCTCAACTATTAACACAAAGGCAAGGGCGCTTTAGCTAAAACTAGCTAGCTAACACATGGTGATCCATCAGCTGCTGGCTTCAGATGTTTTATGGCAGAAGTGACACACCAGTAACATTTTGTTTAACATCATTATAGTGAAACTTATTTCCTATTGCTATTGACAAGATCAGTCGCTGTGGTGGATTGGTGTGATCTGTCCGCAGTAGCTGCATGACAGGATGCCTCAGTATACCTTTCACGCTGGTCTGTTTGTTCGCCACAGGCAACGTCATCATCATAGTCCTAAACATTTATGGTGCAGGAAGCTGCTACAGTACTCCTCGGAACAATAGGTGTCGCTACTCTGAAAAAAAAAAACCTCTGCATCGGCACTGATATAAGGGAAATCACCTCCATCTATACTTTTTTCTCCACCAAGTCATCTTACAACATGTCCGTCTGATCTGTGACCATGTGAGCAGTAAAACCTGACATGATTGTACACTTTTATCTGCTTGGCTGGTACAACGGGGCCCTTAGGCTAAATGTGTTCCCATGCAGTGCCACACTCTAAAGATTTGCAGGCAGGATAGTTATACATGTGTATAGTTTAAGAACTATCCAGCATTTTGGGTAAACTGAACTGGCAAAAATGATCAACAGGCATCGGAAAAAGCCTCTTTTGGAAGCGTTCCTATAGTGTGACATATCACGTGAAAACTAGAAGAGAAAGAATTTTGTGGAATTCCTTCACAAGGGTGTTGGGTGCTCAAGGAGCTGAGGCAAATATTTTGACAATTCATTGTAATGCCAGACTTACATACCAAGATGCGGACACGGGTGCTACTGTAACACCACCTGTCTGACAGGTCACAGAGGACAGCCGACACATAAATAAAGGACTGCTTCTGCATTTTTGAGAAATTCCATCAGTGAGATTTGTGCCCTCAGCATAGTGCCATAGAAAACCTTTTTTTTTTGTCACACATCAGAAGTCGTGGTGGCTTATAATTCATTTTGGTTACAACTTGTTTTTGCATTGTATTATAAAAAACAAAAACAAAAAATGTCTTGATGAGAGAGAAAAGCATGAAGAGCCACAATCTTTTGAACAACATCTAGTCATGTTCAGAGTTCATAACAGCATCAAATATCATGCCATTAGACGTCCTCAGTTCTAATATCACTTCATAAACACAATCAGACCATTTACCTGTGTGTCTTTTCTTTGCAGATTGATTTACATTCTCAGAAAACAAGAACTACAGTGCAGTACTATACACCACAGAGGAGTCTGGAAGCCTCTTTCTGTGCTTTCACTTATCTAAAACACTAAATACACAACATGCAAAATGGGTTAAAAGGAGAATTCGGGGGGTGGGGGGAGGGAGTTTGTGGCTGACACACAGACGAGAGCAGAGGAGAGACACTTTTGGAGGAATGACAAACCAAACATGCCGCCAAAGCCAAAGGAGCGTAACCACAAGCTAGCATGAGATGCCTGTAGGAACACTCAATGCTATGTGAGCTTGATGTGCCCCTCAACTAAACTGTGTGTTTATATTGTACTCTATTTAAATAAATTGTAAAGTCGTTTACAAAATGAAATAACTGCAAAAGGCAGATAAAAAGCTTGAGAGCAACCAGATGGGTCTCTCTGCGGTTAATTCGTTGGTCCTGACTTTCATAGTCTCTTAATTGAATTTAAAAACTGACTACTCTTATTTGGCAAGGCATGACAGGGTTATGCATTTGGGGTGGGCAAGTGGTGGAAGATGACCTGGGAAGTTTTCCTTTGGATCTTCATGCTCATATTAGTTTACCTCTCTCTGCTCCCTGTAAGGATTTGATGGACCAGCAAAAGAAAAAAAGAAAAAACCCCACAAACATGCAAACTTAACAAAGCACATGAGGACTGAAATATGATCCTCTCATGTCATAATACAATCAGTGAGCACTAAAAATGTTCCAGGCTCATTCATTTTGTCGAAATACTAAGCAAGGAATGAAAAACAAAAACGAAAAAACCCAACAACACAGCTACGTCTTTTCTTTATCCAACTTGTTTTTGTGTTTTTACTGCATGAAAAAGGAACTCTTGTTTCAATCTCTTGTTGTGGCAAACAAAAGCCTGCCAGTCTTCATCGGTCAACGCAATGAAATGTTCGGCCATTTTTAAAGACATAAGTGACGCTGGCCACACAGCAACGTCTGGAAGAGCTGTACCCAGCAAAGAGAATATCCACGAAGCGCAAAAGTCTCAATGGAAAAGTTGGTTTTGTTCTGAAATTCGGTCTGCGCCGCTTCATCTTCCACAAAGTGACAGGCCATGAGTCATGATGGTGACTTTATAAACCACTCATAAGAGGGAACAGTGGGGAAGAGGCCTGCGATGTGACTCACTCGTGCCCAATGCAACAAAGGGATACATCTCAAATAAGGATGTGGATGGCTGAGATAGCAAAGTAGCCACACAAGATATACAAACTCTAGTATGAGCAGTGACATCGGGCACTTGACCGTATAAGAGCCTACGTGAGCAGTTTATTCTGTGAGGGCTGTGTGGTGGTGGCGGCAGCAGCAGTGGTGGTGTGACTGAGGTTTGCTGTGGAAAATGTCCCTGCAAAGGGAGCCCTTGGTTCCTCGTAGGACATAGAAGTCCTATAGTCCAAAGAAGATACTGCAAAGACCTTGAGAAATTAGGCCTGTTTTGACAGGAAAATTCTGAAGATCATCAGTGTGAGGTGGCCAAGCTGGAGATCTGTAGCTTGTCTTGTTGCTGATATCAGTCTGTGAAGTGATAAACACTCTATAATAAAATCCTCAGAGAACAGTGAGGGGTGAGCATTGGTAGTCTTGCATGGAAATACCTTAAAATGGCAGAAGACAGGCAGTTTTGACAGGTGGAGGTCAGGGGGTTGTATTTTTTAGCAGGGGGTTGGACAGTTCAGTTGCCGTCGTCGAGGGGGGGAAATGGCGCCTGCTTTTGTCTACACTTCACACCCTTTTTAATGGTCCCTTTTTAAGGCAAACCAATCGGACAAATAGACAAGTGGCCTTACAATGAAAAAAATTTGAAAAAATAAAAATGAAAATAATTATACAATATACACAAAACGTGGTCCTTAAAACAGGCAGGGTACATGCAGTCTTTGTAATGTGCAGCGTTCCCACAATGGAGGAGAAGAAAGGACTCGAGTGGCCGGGGATAAGAGAAGTCAAGAGTCAGGATTTGTGATTGAGTGCTGTGGAGGGAGAGGTAGGGATGGACGCTGCTTTTCCCAATCATGCTTTGCTGCACTTCCCCTTCTTCTCCTTGCGCTGGAACTTCCTCAGACGTCTCGTCCAAACGTCTCTCCACTGGATCACCAGGCTGTTCTTATCGGCCACCAAGCCTATGCGCTCCGCCCCTGGACTGCTGGCTCCACCTCCGGGCCCGACTCCTGGACCTGCTCCTGGGCCCGTTCCACCTTCAGCGCCACCCATCACCAAAAATCGTTTGCTCATCTGGATTTTGGGACACTTGCAGGCAAGGTCCTTCATGTGTACCCACAAGATGTTGTCACCTCTCTTCAAGGGTTCGCCCCGGCTCTTGTACACAGCCACCACGCTAACGGAGAACTTGGCCCAGTCACCCACCGTCTCCATGTCCAGCACGTTCACTTGGACAGCTGGGAACACATTTGCAAGAAACACACTCAGGTGAACACTCAAAACTCTTTACGCTTTTTAATTAATGGTATGGAAAGGAATTCTGCTCTCTTACCATAATCCTTCTTGCAGTATTTCTTCATGTTGATCTTCAAGTTGCCTTTCACTGGTTTACAGTAGGACTCACAATCTGCAAAAATAAGGACAACCAAGTTCACACCTGAAATGCAGGCAGTGACTCCAGTGCTTGTTTTCCACCAACATGTGGCTGGGGCCAGTTCTCTCTTGGTGCACTGAAAACCATCCTTCATTTTGACAGATTTGGGAACCAAATGTTGCATAGTGTTACTAACAGAAGTCGGTGTGATTTCCTTGGGAAGAATATCATGGTCAACAGAATCTGCAGACTCCAAATGCCAGTCACTTGTCCCTTTGGGACAGATTTTTGACACAAGTCATCAGTCTTCTTTTTTGTGGTGGAAATGTGTTTAAGCATTTATAGGCTAGGCACAGTCACAGTATTGGTGAAAAAGGTACCAAAGGAGCACATGAATCTTTCATATTTGCTCAGTCTTACTAACACGTTGTAATGCATAATTAGTGTCACATCACTTTAAAATATAAAACGCAGTGATCAAGCAAATATAAACATAACATTGTGATATGTGCTGATTTCTATATAGAAAGGCCAACTTTGACTCCCCGTCCCATTAATATATTTCACATTTTTCTATAAATACAAAAAATACACATCAAAGCATGATCTACTTTTTAAATACATGTGTTTTTTTTTCTATAATAACTGAGTAAACTTATACTTGCCTTTACAAACTGACTGATGTTGCCAAAGGCTGAAAGGAAAACTGGAGCAGCGCTAAATAATAGTTGGGCTTGGTGTGGTTTTTGGGTGCTAAAAAACAGCTTCTGACAAATCACACATCCAAATCCCTGCAACAGCCAGTGCTGGGAGGCAAGTGAAACATACCAGAGGAGTAAAAGTGTTCAGTTTGACATGTTCTCCGGGGCCTTGAGAAAAGGCAGAGCGTGGTGGAAGCAGGTCATGGTTGGATGAATGTGGATAGGCCTTGGCTGCCAGAGTGACAACTAAGACCACACACTGGACCAATGACCTCTGCTGACCATTAGTAGGTGGGGTTGCAAATGATGTGGTTTTTACATTTATGAATATGACAGTCAAAATTGATTTCTAGGCTGGATGACCATTCTCTGATCTTTTTCTGACCGACTTTAAGGCCAGTCACGGTTTGGTTTAGTTGTTCTGTGTCCTCCAGCATCTTTTTCAATCCAGCTTTTCCCTCATGCAGATTTTGGCCAAAGAGCAGGCATGTGGTGCTGGAAACACTTTGGCGCTTGATTTCAGCATTTGGAACCTGAGCAGCCACCTTTCCTTCTATTATATGACTCACAGCTTACCTGCAACCTGAATCAAATTTTAAAAAAAAAGAAAAGAAATTTTTTTTTTCCTCTATATTATTTTTTTATTTATAAAAACAATAAAAAACACTTATATTTTATATCTATATATCTCTATATATATATATCTCTATCTCTCTCTATCTATATCTATCTCTATATATCTATATCTCTATATATCTATATCTCTATCTATCTCTATCTCTCTATATATCTATCTCTATCTCTCTATCTCTCTATCTATATCTATATCTATATCTATATCTATATCTATATATATCTATATATATCTATATATATCTATATATATCTATATATCTATATATATATCTATATATATATATATCTATCAATCAGTTGTGTTATAGAGCCCTTCAAAGATTTGAAAGCATATGCATGTAATTACATCGCGTGGTTTATTTTCTTGTAGTCCTGAAATATTTGTTTTGCCATGTCGGTATTCTCGGAGATCGGAAAACATGTTTTGCAAGAACAAAGAGCAAAAGGAAAGGGAAACTGAGAAGATAAGCATGATTAAATAGGCTTAAACAGATGAAGTGCGCTAAAACAATGATAAGAATCCCTTTTAAACTTTAAAGCATTCACTGTGCTTTTAACTCAATTTCTGCCACTGGAGCTGCAGAAAGAAAAATGCTGTTGTTTGTTAGTAAGACTCATCTGTGGTTGACACAGGCTGCTGGATTCTGTGACTCATTGAATTTTGGATCCACAGCATAAAAATAAAAATCTATGAGAAGGATACAAAATAAGTTTTGAAAAAATGAAAATGGTGAACTGAAATTGCAAAAGAAACAGAGTTTTAGTCACTTCTAATGAAAGGACGTGAAAAGTTGACCACCAACAAACCACACGCTGGTAAGTGGACTGGTATCTCTCGTTCCCTTCAAGAGGAATAACCATTTAGCCGTTTTTGCTTTCCAAAGAAAACCAAATAAAAATCGCTGGACATGAAATGTCCAAGTTTAAAAACAAAAAAAAAGAGAAAAATGACCCTTTTGGGAATGTTGTATGAGTGAAAGGGTGTTGTATTGTTCTTTTTTTTTTTTTGTGGAAGAACTGAGGAGGAGGAAGAAACGGGGGACCGAGGAGCTCATTAAAACGTCCAGAAAGGTTGGCTGTATATCAGAGTGCTGGAGATTTTATTAGCCAGAGAGAGGAAAGAAAGGGAAACACAAAAGGAGAAAGAAGATGACTTTCAATACGCTGCAATGAGTGAAGGTGTGGATGAGTGCAAAGGTGTGTAGTGCATGTGTGTACGTTTTACTTTAAATAAATGTTGCAGAATATCACCGTCTACTTAAGGGCTTTCTCATTAGTACAGAGTATGTGGTATTCATGTAAGTATGCATGCAGCTGTGACAGGCGTGCATGTGCATGAGATGAGCATGGATTTCATTAGATCACAGCTGTTTTGTGTATGTAGGTCTCTGTTTTTGTATACAGTGGCTAACCTGCTCTTGAAACTCTGGCTGGGGCGACAGTATGCTCTTTCCCATGAAGCACTACTTACTGCTGGGTGATCACCTGGAAAAGCTCTCGGTGAATTGCCCAATGACCCAGAAGGCCAGCCTGCTGAAAACATGCACAATTGGCTCCAAGACTCTCGATGCCCTCTTTCCCTTGAGCCCCTTTCACTGTGCCATGACAAGGACAAATTGCATCCAACGCCCCTTACACAAAAAGATTTTGGGGGCCTTAGGTTTCTGATGGTGAAGCTCTTTCTGTGGTAGTTTAGGAAGGAGAAAGATGGGGGAAATGCGCTGGTGTGTTTGGTAGAAGCTGAGGTGAATTGACAATCAATGACTCTTGTGTTCTTAGACCCTGTAACATTTTCCCAGGAAAGTAGTAAACAAGAAAGGGCTGGACTCTGCTTCTTTGGGTTAAAAAGACCCAAGCGATGGCGGTAAAAGGTTATACAGAACAAGTTGTAAATGAGTGAAGAAGCTGCGAGTCTAAGGAAAATTAAATTCAGGACTTACAGTCACAGTAAAAAGAAAGTACACCCTCTGTCAGTTCCAATGTTTCCAAAGGAATTTTTTCCAGATGCAATTTTACAAACTTGAGTTGTGCTGCCATGTTCGAAAGAGAAGAAGTTTCCTCCTGGAGACACTTCCAAACAATCCATACTTGTCCAGTCTTTTTCTAATCGTATTATCATGAACTTAACATTGACCATGCTGAGGCACGTGCAGTCTGAGGTGTAGGCTTTCTGTTTTGAAGTTTCTCTGAACATTGTACGGTCTTGACTTTGGGGGGAATTTGCTGGGACATCCACTCCTGTGAACAATTTTGAATGTTTTTCACCAGTGGAATAATCTTTCTCACTCTACAATGATGGATTTCAAATTACTAGTTCCAACTTCGCAGATTGGTGAGCAGCATCAGTTGCTTCTCTGAGATGATTTCTGATGCATTTCTTCTTTAATGTTGTGCTAATACACAATTGAATACTCCAGACCTGCAAACTGTCCGAACTTCAGCTTTTATAGAGATGCTCACACTGAGGGTGTACTTTCACACACAATTCTGCGTTTTGCGTTAGTATTTTTAAAAAAATAATAGCACAGTATAATCATGTGTTTTTCTTCTGAGGTTGTATTTACATAATTTTAAGACCTGATTTTATGTTTACTTTAACTACACTCACTTGTAAACATAGTCATGGTAAAAAAAAAATGAGATGAAAGATCTTTGGCTAGAATTCACCTCACCTAATTGAAATCATTTAGGTAAAGTTTGATCCCAATTGGATTTATTTTATGCAATTATCTGCTCTAAATCTCAATAATTAACCTACCACGATTAATCTGTTGTAATAAACCATTTCTTTCCCCCATTTTTTGTCCAGGATTTTTGCTAAGCTAACCAGTAACCGGTAAGCTTAGCTTAGCTAGTTTACAACATTTACCTTAGAAACGTCACGAATTCTCCACCAGAAGAATGTTTTTCATTTCACACTATTAGACATATCTGGAGGTTTTTATTTGGAGTGTACAACCAATTTTGCCCTTTTATGTGGACCTCGGAAAGAGCCATTATAAACATCTTGAACTCTATGAATCGAGTCCTCAAAATTTATAGCATGCAACCTCGAAAGTTAAGTCGAAAGTTAAAATTTGAAAATTTATTGTGAGGGTTCTGAAAATACGTATTATTTTTTAGAAGAGAAAGGACATAAAAACAAGAAAACCATTATTGCTTTAAAAAGAATGGCAGTAATAGCAAATTTGGGAGGGGTGCACAGTCTGCCGCTTCAGTGATAATATATGATATAAATCCACTAATGAATCAACGTTTCCAAATCAACACCACCATTTAAATCAAACAGTTGTAGAATGAAAAATGCGGACAGGGTAATTGACCGAAGCCTAGAGTGTTAGAGGGAGTGACTGAACAAATTTCCCCCAGTTACTTGCCAACACTCTTTTCATGCCTCGCAACGTTCCCCTTCCACTATATCTCCCAACTAAACTGTAACTAATCACCTCAGCAGCCTATCTGCTGCCCTTGGCTTAAAGCTGCACTTAAAGTCTGAGCACAGCGTGTCTCCACTAACTTGAGGCTAGCGGTTGGGGAAACTATGCCAAGGACACAGGTTTTTAAGACAATGTAAAATTTTTCCATCCCCAGTGCAATCATTTCCCTGAGAACTTCAAATGAGCAAACCCGCCCTCTATTAATATTTATTCCACGCCTTAATATTTAATATTTCTGGACACGTATTTTATGTTTTTGTTCCTCTCATAAAGTAGGGGTGCTCAAGGTGCAAGGAGTATATACTAACCTGCTGGTTCCTCTGTGCTGCTCACGACAGCTGTGGGGTTGACCACAGGGATTTCTGAAACACGCACAAGAAACACAAAGTTATTTCAACGATTAATTCTAAGTCCACACCTTTCAAGTATGTCTGAAATGATCTGGCTGCCGGCCTACAATGAGAGCACGTGTGGTCAAAGAAACAAAGTGTGTCCAAATTCATTAAATGTGATCCCAAATATGGGGGTGGGATGGGAAATAGTACTGAGAAGAAGTAAAAAGTGCTATTTGAGGTCACTGGGGAAAAAAAGAAGAAGAATCAGGGTTGCCACACAGTAGGTTTGTGGTGTACTATATGTCAAACTTATGAAAATACACAGGGCTTTCCAGACAGACGTGCTAGATAAACGCTAAGAGACTGACAGGAATACTTATTGGTGGTGAGAGGGAAGACCGGTTCAAATAAACCATACATGCCATAGACTAATGCAGTGGTTTCAGTGTCTTTTTTTAAGGAGATCTTCAGACTAACTGGAAGAAATAATCAAAGTCCAATTTTAGTTGATGCTTCACAAGAATCACACCATAAACCAGTTTGGAGGAGTCAGCGCATTGAAAGTAGGCACACAATGGCAAGGTGGCTACACTAGATTCGTTTCATCCTCCTCTAACAGATGTGGGGTTAACACTGCTGTGCAATCTCCATGCAAGCATGTATAGACAGATGGACGGATGGCAAAGGGGCAATTTTGGTGGGATCATCTTGAGACAGATACAGCCCTCCCTTGTTGTGCCCGCTGGCTACAAAAAAAAAAAAAAAAAAAAAAGTGCCTTGTAGAATTCCTCCAGGACTTCTCCTTTAATCGTATGCATCTTTCCAATACAAATGCTAATGCTAACAACAGGCCCCTCTCCTTTTACCGTAAACAGAATTACTGGAACGCCGGCTTAGCATCCACCCAGAGGATCTGCTTTTGATTGGATTTGGAGGTTCAGGGGTTGGACCGAGTGTGTGAGAGTGTGTTGGCAGGAGGTAGAGGGGGGTTTCTTGGAAAGCTGTTTTGAGGCAAAAGCAGCAGTTGTCTCTCTAAAATTATGGACACCCTGCCAACAAAAACAAACAAGGGCACGGAGCTTTGTGAAGGCAGGCACAGCTGCTAGAAGCCACTTTGAGACCCTTTGCCCCGATGGCCACATCTTGTGAAGATAGACAGATGATGAAAGGATCATTCAGATGTGGGTTGCTGCCATCATACTAATTGGCTTCTTAATGGATTTGTCTTCTGTCTTGGGATACAGTATCCTCCAGGGGTAATATGCTGACATCAGGCTATAATGGCAGACAGGGTTGTCATAATGTGCATAGCTTAAGCATGCCCACACCCACTATTCCTCTTGTTCTCGATAGACAGTTCACCTAATGGCACTTAAACGAGTATAGTCTGCCATCCATGACCACGGTCGTCTTCTCCTTCTTGCCTATCCGCCATCTGCTTCGGAGCTGCATGCAAGAGGAACAACATGGCACCGTGTGGCAGTGTGGCAGAGCTGGACACGGCACTGGGCGGCGCGGCATGACTTGATTTGGTGGAGGCTATCTTTTGATTGTTTGCAATGTGGCACAGACACGTGCTGGGCCCACGGGCAAAATTCGTAACTTGCGTGGACTCACATTCGCTTGTTACAGGAAATCAAAAACCTAAACACAGCTACTAGAGCACACACACACACACAAACACATATGGTACATAGTTAAGAGAAAGTAGAATAACAGCACAAGCGTTAACAACAGTATGCCTCTTTGTTCCTTTAGCATGGATCGCGTTTCAATTTAACCCAACTTTATGCTGGGGCGCTCGTTTGGCTCACGTTTTGGGCTCTTCTCCATGAAATGTCATTGCAGTTTCAGTGGCTATGCAAGTCAACACACACACACACACCCACACTTTCATATCCTAGTGAGGACATCTAATTGACAAAAGGCTTTCCCTAGCCGCTTACCCTAACCATTCAAAAATTAATGCCTTAACCATAACCCTTAGCCTAAACTTAAAATGCCTTCAAACTTGTGGGGACAGGCATTTTGTCCCCATAACTGACTGTTGTCCCCACAAGTAGTGTAGCATTCCAATTTTTGGTCCACACAAATATATCCAAATACGGCAGGCGCGCACACACACACACACACACACACACACACACACACACACA